ATTTCTATCAGGTTCATGGGATCTGAACGCAGAAGAAGACGAGACAGACCTCCAGCTGTATATTCTAAGTTCACAACCTTTGATCCGGTGGAGTGATAAAGCTCCGAGTATGGCATAGATGCTGAGAGATGGCCTGATACATGGTGGCTTTTAAGGACAAGCGGGCTAACCCAGATTTCGAGGGATTCCAGAAATCTTGACATATACCAAAAGTAGGCATTGCCCTACCTATAGGATACATTTGGTTTCATTGGTGTGTATACTTGTTTGGTTATAGAGAAAACTCTCCTTGTCTTTTAAAGAAACCGAAGAAGGGTCCAACAACTTTACCTTCGATTTTCTCAAAACAACTTTTCAGGGTAGCCCTCTTGTGCTTAAAAGCGACCACATAGTATTATGATTTGAAGCTGGTGCAGATTCGCTGTAAAAGATTTGCCGTTGAACGTTTCCCTGTGGCTGGCTTGCTATATGTGAGGCAGCGTGGTGGATCAGGCTCTCGTCAATTTTTGGGCGTGTTGAGCTATTGGTATCATTTTAAAGATTGTTCATTTGTCTTGCTTTCAATGAAATAATTACCCATTCATCTTCAATAGAAGTGGAGATATTTTGGATTGAAGGAGGTGGGGGTCGCCTGGTTTGAGAGGTAAAATTAGCGAGAAAATAGCCGCCGAAGCTTGGTAAATTCAAAATAAAAGCTGAAGAGTCCATGGAAACTGTAAATTTATATTTTTGTACCTTTAATCAACGTTTTCTGTGAAATCCTCAAAGAAATGTGTTTGTAAATGGACATAAAAAGTGTTGAGCCAAAAGACAAAAAATTGATAAAAATTTCGAAGCAGGGGAAAAACTGCTGTTTAGTTCGATTTCATTATTTGGACGAGAGCCTGATTCCACCATGCCGCCTCACAATATTGTTTTACCAACTGATCGAGCGGTAGGTGGCGGGGAGTTAACAAAGTTGACTAACCATAATGCCGCGGCAAAATAGTCGATTTTAAGCACAAGGGGGCTATCCCAAAAAAGCTGTTTTGAGAAAATCGAAAGTAAAGTTTTTGTCTCTTGTTCAGTTTCTTAAAAAAAACCAGGAGAGTTTTCTCTATAACCAAACAAATATACACACCAATGAAACTAAACGTCTCCTATAGGTAGGGCAAAGCCCTATTTTGGTGTAGGTCAAGATTTCTGGAAACCCCCGGAATCTGGGGTTAGCCCGCTTGTCCTTAAATGCACCAAATGTGATCTTTCGCAGTAGTTGTTAGCGTGCTGGATAAACTCACGCTTGTACTGCTTTTTCCGACTTTGTTCACAGACATAATTTATTATTATCAGTTTCTCTCTTGCTTGAGATGATGAATCTGTCAACACTACGTCAACTAATGTGACCCCTTGCTTTGTGACAAGATAAAACCTGCTCATTCCATTATGGTAGAGTAAAACGAATAGGGAGAACATGGTACAGGTTCGACGAGCGTATCAACACTATTAGGTTATTTAACGCACGTCGTGTTTTACTATCGTATCCATACGACGTGGGGAACTCATTGCCCCACTTTTCAAAGAGGAAATTTACTCGTTTATCCGATCCGTACGCTTTGCATAGAAGTCTGTCAAAATGATTTTTTGAGAAATCCTGAAAGTTTCAAAGAGATCTTCGTACTAGAAGAATTCTAAAATGTGAAGAATACAACCCCGGGGGTACAAAATGAGCCCAGGGTGTACGGATAGGGTTAAGAGGCGTGAGAGACCTGTGAGTTTAATGTCTATCTCCGGAAAGGACCGAGCCAAAAGGGGAAATTCGTGTAAAGTGCCTTTTCCAAGTACACAACGTCGGACCGAGCTGAGGCTCGAACCCTGAACTCTCAATTTGACGATTACAAGTCCTGTAGTCTTACCACTAGGATACCGACATCACCAAAATGGGGGACATTGTATACGTATATAATGCTCCTTGCTACCCTGTTACGTTAGCTAAGAGGCGCATACAGTAATCCTGTGTCTCAAAGAAAGGTGAGGCAGCGTGGTGGAATCAGGCTCTCGTCAATTTTTGGTCTTGTAGAGTTATTGGTATAATCTCAAAGGTTGTTCACTTGTGTTTATTTGGACGTAAAAAAATATCCATTTATCTTGAATACAAGTCAAGATATTTGAGAAAAAAGGAGGTTGGGGGGGGGGGGGGGGTCACCTGTTTTCGGAGGTAAAATTAGTGAGAAAATGGCCGCCAAAGATTAGTTATTTCCTTAGCTTAAGAGTCCGTGGTATCTGAAAATTTACATTAATTGTGTCTTTAATCAACGTTTTAAAAAAAATTTCACACAGAAATGAGTTCTTTAATGAGCATGAAAGGTGTTGAGCCAAAAAACAAAAATTTGATACAAATTCACAAACCCTCGAAAAAATGCAAGTTTCTTCACATTGATTACTTTGACGAGAGCCTGATTCCACCACGCTGCCTCACAAATCCTCTTTGGGTTGGATAAAGCTTAAAGCAAAACAACAATATTGACCCAGAGTTCTGTTTTTAAAGTTTGGGTTTTCTTGGAAGTTTTTAACGTTTTTTCTTCTTCTACAAACTGTGGGCTAGAGACATAATAGTGCCGTAAAGAATTCGTGGCGCAACTTATCCTTAAATATCTCTTAATACGAATAAACGCTATCCGTACTTTGCAAAGCAGTTTGTATCAATTTGTCTTAACTTAATCATATTTTTCCACGACAAATGAGGCTAGATTAAACAACTCATTTATATATTTTTTTCATACATTTTTATTAAACACTATACATCTCTGCCATCCGAAAAAATAATTGTTCTGTAGCCCTTCCCACTTCTCACACACATTTTGTATACTCATATGGCCTACGTCACAGCTCACATATAACACGTGTTTGTAGCAGAATGTGTTACAAGAAATTAATTTTGAAGCGAACACATTTTTGCACTCTAGGTTCTCAAAACATGCGTTCAATAAGCATAATATCGCGATTAAAAAAAATAAATATGACGGACTTTCTTTTAAAAGCGATATTACCCTATCAGTAAATCTTTAAAAATCTGTAGAAACCAACTTCTTTGTTTTTTTAAAATTAGTATCTATTAAGGAATTTTCTAAAATACTGCTAACAGGTGTTTGCAAAAATGTTGATTTGTTAAGACAAATTGATACTAGTCATTGTGCAAAAGCTCGAGAGTCTATGTTCGATTGTTAAGGAAATATTTTATAATAAGTTGCACCACGAATTTTTGACCGCATTATAAAATTGGAGTCCCGTCTTTTAACAGGGCTTACATGTGTTAGAAAGGACATTAGAATCATTGCTGTTCTCTATCGTGATGTGTTAGAAAGGGCATTAGAATCATTGCCGTTCTCTATCGTGATGTGTTAGAAAGGACATTAGAGTCATTGTTGTTCTCTATCGTGATGTGTTAGAAAGGACATTAGAGTCATTGCTGTTCTCTATCGTGATGTGTTAGAAAGGACATTAGAATCATTGCTGTTCTCTATCGTGATGTGTTAGAAAGGGCATTAGAATCATTGCCGTTCTCTATCGTGATGTGTTAGAAAGGACATTAGAGTCATTGTTGTTCTCTATCGTGATGTGTTAGAAAGGACATTAGAGTCATTGCTGTTCTCTATCGTGATGTGTTAGAAAGGGCATTAGAGTCATTGCTGTTCTCTATTGTGATGTGTTAGAAAGGGCATTAGAGTCACTGCTGTTCTCTATCGTGATGTGTTAGAAAGGACATTAGAATCATTGCTGTTCTCTATCGTGATGTGTTAGAAAGGATATTAGAATCATTGCTGTTCTCTATCGTGATGTGTTAGAAAGGACGTTAGAATCATTGCCGTTCTCTATCGTGATGTGTTAGAAAGGACATTAGAATCATTGCTGTTCTCTATCGTGATGTGTTAGAAAGGGCATTAGAGTCATTGCTGTTCTCTATTGTGATGTGTTAGAAAGGGCATTAGAGTCACTGCTGTTCTCTATCGTGATGTGTTAGAAAGGACATTAGAATCATTGCCGTTCTCTATCGTGATGAACTCCTGCCCTCATTATTTTACGATGGATGGAAAGACACCGAAGACGACCAAACATGAAATCAAATTGTGTCCTTCGGCTACAAAAAAATGACTCAAAAAGTAGATAATTTGGTACACACTGAGAAGATTTCTTCCTTCCCGGTACTTACTTACTTGGTTTGAGAATAGGCGTCACTGCAGGCGGCATGATGCCATAGCTTACAGTACGTGCTGCGTGCTTGAGCTCCAACCATCTTCCTTCCCAGTGAATTGGGTTACTTATCTCACAGCCCTTGGAGATAGTTTTCGTGTCCAAAGTTTGAAAACAAAACCTCAGATTCAATGAAGACATGCGTCCGATCTATTAGTAAAGGAAGTTTTTTTCTCTGTTTTTGAAATACGTGTTTTACGGCACTTGCAACACAATAAGGTCATATAAGTGCCAAAGATTAGATGTGTTACAAGAGAGTAACAAACATAAAAAAAGAAGGAGGGGAGATAAAGACGATAGATGTTTGATAGGAAAGAAGAAGCAAACCACACCAGAGCACCCGCCAACCACCCACAGTTATTCTCTATCTGCTGAGGCATTTTTTACCACTCAAACCGTGCTGCCCGGGCAAGTAGAGTGTGAGCATCCCGCCTCCTAAATTGTGCCGATGGAATATAAAACATGAATTACAATCAACCAATCAATCCCCCCCCCTCTCTCTCTCTCTCTCTCTCTCTCTCTCTCTCTCTCTCTCTCTCTCTCTCTCTCTCGCGCGCGCTCTCTCTCTCTTTTCTTCTCTCTCTCCCTTCTCTCTTTTCTTCTATCTCTTTCTCCCCCTCTCTATCTCTTTCTTTCCCTCTTTCTCTCCCTCTTTTTCCCTTTTCTCCCCCCCCCTCTCTCTCTCTTTCTCTTACTTATGACTTTTTGTGTTGCTGCTGGCTCCAAATTCTCACACAATTTCAATATTGTCTGTTCAAGAAAACAACAGCATGTTTTACTATGAGGCATATAAGTCAGCAAGATGTTTATGAACGGATAAAAACACGCAACAAACACAATGCGATGAACACACAGAATACAATCTGAATAATGACGATTAATGCACTTAAGTCGAGTCAGTTTTTGTATGGGCAAAAATATCGGGCGGTTCTGGGTTATATCCAAACAAAAGAAAGTCGAAAGTATAAGTTATTTTCAAGTTTTTCAACATTGACAGCGGGATGTGAGAGTAAGCTTCCAGCATAAAGCGTTTCCTTAGACTGGAGCTCTCTGAAGGAGTGATGTTAGAATTGGTAAAAATCTCCATCAGGACAGGAACGAAACGGTCCCGCCCGAGTGGTAGCAACTGCTCAACTTCAGTGAAAACGTCTTCACGAAAATAACCGTTGAACACAAACGCGCGAATAATCCTCGTCTCCAGTTCTGCGTCTGTGAGGCAGCGTCTTTGGTACTTGTGCGCAAGGACTGAGTCGAACTCGAAGTCGGCGATAGTTGTGATTTCGTTCAATACGTGATCTGTGAAATTTGTGGCCGAGTCTATTCTTGACAGACCCAGGCGATCTAAGATGATTGGTTTTTCGTCTGTCATAGTCTCCAGATTGCCCACAAAGGTCGGCTTGTAGTGGCATGGGTTACATGTGTAGTGGACGGGGATCATGTGGTCGTTGAGATTTTCGGGCGATTTGCTGCCGATTTCTGAAACGTAGTGAATGAATTCTTTGAACGAGATGTCTTTCAAACATTTTGTGTTTTCCAGTGTTTCGCCATTTCCGAAGGTGGCCAAATATCGCGTCCGAATTTCTGGAGCAAAGAGGTCCCAGAACCAGCCGTCCACTAAGACAAATTTATCGATGTACACTGACCACAGGCGTTTGTAAGGTTCGCGAGTGATCATGAACCGGAAGTAATTGCGGGTCAAATCTCGCTGTATTGTCAGGTTGTAGAAATTCAGGAACTCGACATATCTATGGAATATAACAAACACATATCATACAACAAGGAGCAAAAACATGACTGATAACAAGGTAACATGAGCAAGGCACTGACTTGAAAAGAAACGTTCTTGTAATAGACGTGTTTATCAGAAAACAGGGTACCATTAATTAAGAGGGTACATATGGAAAGACACAGGTAAACGTTAAGAACAAAACAACATTTGCCCAAGACAGAAAATCACAGGTGTAGGCCATCCACGTTTAAAAAATAAAACGATTTTTTTACCCTTTACGAATAACTTTTGATGAATTTTGACACAAAATATAACTTGTCTTCAAAGCATCGAAAAATGAAAGGTCGGCATCAAGCCATTAATCAGCAAGAATTTTCTCTTTTTTTGTTTGTTAATTAATAAATACTAAATATGATTTGTGTTCCAGATCTATTGATCCTTCCACGTGGGCTGTTAACCAAATTTGAAATAAGATCGAGCTTAATCAAATATATTTTAGGTATATGAATCTTCTATTGTTTCTATCACATTTTTGTGGGTGGTTGGCAGGTGCTCTGGTGTCGTCTGTTCCTTCTTTCCCATCAAACACCTGTCGTCCTTATCGCTCCTCTTCTTTTCTTTGTTTGTTACTCTCCAGTAATTTATGTACAACGCCCACCATTTTCAAAGAGGCATAGGAGCTAAATTCTCTTCATAACTCATAAAGTCTCCAAAAAGCCAAAGACAACTTCCGCGCTCCACGGTCAAGGAATGTTTCATTTGCTTCAACTCTATCTAATAATCGGCACTTTATTACCCACTTATGTTGCCGTAAAACTTTCGATACAACTAAAACTAGGAGTTTTGCGATATAGTATTTGAGTCAGATCGTGACAGACATTGTCTTGTGTACTTTCTCACCGAATTTCGCAAGTAAGTTGGACTGCACAGTAAGCGCGATATAATTTTTATTTGACGACCCTCATAAGGTAGGAAAAGGCCTTTCATCCCAAAGATTTATAAAGTGCGCGTAGATTTTATGCTGCAACTTCAGAAAACAAAACATGACACAAAAAGAATAAAGAAAAAGAGCTTATTGTTGTTTTATAATCTCAAAGTCCAATTCAAAAGGAAGAAAACGATATTCATAAAAAGCTGTCTTTATTTCTAAAATGGACGGCCCCCAGCAATGCGGTCAGTGTACATCGATGAAAAAAGTACTGATGAGAAGCCTAATACATGTATATAATAATTTTAGAAAAACGTTATAAGAACGAGAGAGAGAGAGAGAGAGAGAGAGAGAGAGAGAGAGAGAGAGAGAGAGAGAGAGAGAGAGAGAGAGAGAGAGAGAGAGAGAGAGAGAGAGAAAGAGAGAGAGAGAGAAAGAGAGGGAGAGGGATAGAAAGCGAGAGAGAGAAAGAGAGCGAGAGAGGTGGGGGGGGGGGAGAGAAAAAAAGAGGGAGAGTGTGAAAGAGAATCTATCTATAGACACAGACAGACGAATAGAGAGACAAAACGGAAGACAGAGATTGTAGGGAAATGCACAGGGTGTGTAAAAAAGAGGACCCACTTAAAAGGCAATAACCCAATCATCTTTAATTAATTTCAACAAAACTTCGGACAAACAAAATTCAACCATGAGGATATCAAGTCTGTAAATATGAAGAAAATCAAAGTGTTCGAGAAATATCTAGTTTTTAAAAATTCAACCAAAATTAGATAAAACGCAAAATTTTACTTCTTAACCCTATCCGTGCGTCGTGTATTACTATCGTATCCATACGACGCGGGAAACTCTGTGCCACCCCTTTCCAAAGAGGAAATTTGCTCGTTGATCCAATCCGTACGCTTTGCATAGCAGTCTGTCAAAATGATTTTTTGAGAATCTGTCAAAATGATTTTTTGAGAAATACTGAAAGTTTCAAAGAGATTTTCGTACAAGAAGTATTCTAAAATGTGAAGAATACAACCCCGGGGGTACAAATGACTCCAGGGCGTACGGATAGGGTTAAAAGCATTCAGCTACAGGGCAGTGATCGGCTCGTTTTGATTCCACGACAAAGGACGATAAAACCACGACGGTTACATCCGATGGATATCTCACTGCGCTGAGAAAGTTTGCAGAAACTTGAGGAGGGGGTGTTATGCTGTAGAAGCCTGGTTCCAGTAAGATGGTCCAGACACCAGTCATCATGAGTGAAACCCGCGCTCAATGACCCAATGATGCAGTTGTGAGCGCCGTAAAACTCTTACTGAACTAAAATATGAGTGGCCCTTGTGTCATTGTAAGAACAGTTTAGGGAACACCTCATAAGCCGAAAGTTTACAAATAAAAGACTACTACATTCTCCCTAACTTGAGCCCTTGCAATTATTACCTTTGTTTTTTTTTACCCTATCTGTACGCCTTGTGGTCATTTTGTACCCCCGGGGTTGCATTATTCACGTTTTAGAATACTTCTAGTACGAAGTTCTCTTTGAAGCTTTCAGTATTTCTCAAAAAATCATTTTGACAGAGTGCTATGCAAAGCGTACGGATCGGATTAACTAGTAAATTTCCTCTTTGAAAGTGGTGGCACAGAGTTCCCCACGTCGTATGGATAGATAGTAAAACACGACGTACACAATATACGGAAACAACCCATAAACAACCGAACAGTGAAAGCTCAATGTTGAACATGACGTCCAAAGAATCGACCCAGAAACACGCAACGGGGCCATTCCAAATTCCCAGGGGTTTACTGAAGCTTGTAGCGGGAGCAGTGGTCAACACCTGGAGATGTCAATAGCCATCCCCTCCATGGGTTTGTTGTTTTGTTTGTTTAAGTAGAGGTTTTACAGCGCTCGCACTGCATAAGGTCATATGAACGCCACTCCATGGGTTTATTTGGCAAAATTAATTTCGTATACATTTGTTCTTCACTGCGCAAATAGTGACTGTTTGAAATGGAACAATATGGTTGATTTTTAAGAAGGTCAAAAGTATCCTCTGCTTGTCTTGTGACGAAAACTTTCTCTCGATAGCGGATCTTGCATCCGCCCTTAAAAAAAAAAAAGGTGGGTGGTTGGCGGGTGCTTTGGTGTGGTTTGCTTCTTCTTTCCCTATCAAACATCTATCGTCCTTATCTCCCCTTCTTCTTTTTTTATGTTTGTTACTCTCTTGTAACACCTCTGATCTTCTGGCGCTCATATGACCTTATGCGGTTGCGAGCGCCGTAAAACCTCTACTAAACTAAAACTAAAAGAAGGTGCAAAATTTTGCGTTTCCCTTAATTTTGGTTGAAATTTAAAAAACATGATATTTTTTTGAATACTTTGAGTGATTTTCTCCTAACTGGGTGTCCTCATGGTTGAAGTTTGTTTCCCTAAAGTTTTGTTGAAATTGGTCCAAAAGGCAACGGTTTTATCGCCCTTTAAATGGGTCCTCTTTTTTGACACCCGTTGCCTGTCTACCCATACATCTATCAACGTGGGTGGTTGGCGGGTGCTCTGATGTGGATTGCTCCTTCTTTCCTATCAATCATCTATCGTCCTTATCTCCCCTTCTTCTTTTTATGTCTGTTACTCTCTCGTAACACCTCTAATCTTCTGGCGCTCATATGACTTTATGGAGTTGCGAACACCGTAAAACCTCTACTAAAAGTGAACTTTAAAAAATCTATCAACCTGCTCATTTAGTAGCTCCTAATCTATAACACAGCCTACCTAAACTGTGAGAGATGTGTTTCAAACTTGGAAATGTCCGAGGGTCTGTGCACATCCCTGGTCGTGTCGTTGTAGAGATACCGGAACACTTGCAGCCAGTATGTAGAGGCCACTTTGTGGTTGATGCAGTAAGCTGTGTGCCGAGGTGGGTACACTGTTATAATGGACACCTGGGAGACGGTGGGGGAAAGAGGATTTTTTAGGGGATAAACTTTGTTCTTACGCTCTTATGTATATCAAGGGTTAATTAAAAATAAATCAAAGTAGTAGGTAGAGGCCACTTAGTGGTTGATACAGTAGGCTGTGTGGCGAGGTGGGTACACTGTTACAATGGAAACCTGGGATACGGTTGGGGAAAGAGGATTTTTTAGGGGACAAACTTTGTTCTCTCCCTCTCATGTATATCAAGGGTTAATAAAAATGAAATATAGTACGGTCGCTTTTAAGGACAAGAGGGCTAATCCAGATTTTGTGAGTTTCCAGAAATCTTGACCAACGCCAAAAGTGGACATTGCCCTACCGATAGGAGAAGTTTGCTTTCTTTAGTGTGTATTTGTTTGATTAAAGAGAAAACTCTCTTTGTTTATTTAAAGAAACTGAACAAGGGTCCAAAAACTTTACCTTCGATTTTCTCAAAAGAACATTTTTCGGGATAGCCCCCTTGTGCTTAAAAGCGACCGCATGTAGAGGCCACTTTGTGGTTGATACAGTAAGCTGTGTGGCGAGGCGGGTACACTGTTACAATGGAAACCTGAGAGACGGTGGGGGAAAGAGGATTTTTTAAAGGACAAACTTTGCTCTTACGCTCTCGCGTATATCAAGGGTTAATAAAAATAAATCAAAGTAGTAGGTAGAGGCCACTTTGTGATTGGTACAGTAAGGGCCCATGTCCACTGCGACGGACTCCAACCCACCCGATTCCGTCCGTCTTTCGGAAAGTCGGTAGTAGAAATGGAGCACCGTTCATTTACTAAGAAATCAATTAAAAGACCGTTTGGCTGTGTCAACAGACACGACACGACACGCCCCGACAAAAGACGTGTCGGTTGGAAAGCTGCTTGCTCAATTTTAGCCGGGCCGAGATGTGACTCGTAGCTAAATACAACTTCTAATTTTGAGTTCGGATTAAATTCTAATGTCGTATTCGTAAACTGCGCCTCAAAATTAGCAAAGTCTACGCGTAAACCACTTTGTTTAAATGCATATTAACAATTTTACAAATTTTCCTTTAAAAACCGATTCATTTCTTATTACCGCCATGGGTTCATCGACCTCGACTATTTATAGCCCTGTGCCGAGGACAAAGTCTTGGGACACAGTGTGTGGAATAATATGGTCAGTAGGCCAACAGACTAGACGCGTCTTGTCCGAACTGGTAGACACACAAGACGGAAACGACCCACCGATTTTCTTCCTCCCGACAAAAAATCGGGCCGTGTCGGTCTCAGTGGACCTGTAGGATAAACCGTGTGCCGAGGCGGGTACACTGTCACAATGGAAACCTGAGAGATGGTGGGGGATTTTTTTAGGGGATAAACTTTGGTAGCGTCCAGGGTATCTCATACAAAGGTCACACCACAACTGATGAAGTCAAACAGCGAATCAAAAATGAAATCGGACCATAATTATGCTGACCTTCTCATTCTGGTCAGGAAACGCAAACTTCAATGGTATGGACACATCACCCGTTCATCCGGCCTTGCCAAGATGATCTTGCAAGGCAGCGTCCAGGGAAAAGGGAGCAGAGGCAGACGGAAGAAGAGTTGGGAGGACAACATCATGGAATGGACAGGAATGGAACTCAAAGACACGCCCAGGAAAGCTGAAGACCGGAAGGAGTGGAGGAAGCTGGTGGCTATTTCTTCAAAAGCGCCCCGACGGAAATCCAGTCTATGGGATAGGTGAAGGTGAATGTGAAGGTGAAGGTGGTTAGATTTTGTTTTCACACTCTTGTGTATATCAAGGGAAATACAACTACAGGCTTTTATTCAACAGGTGCCTTCACCCCCTCCCGCCTCCCCTTTCTCCTCTCTGTGTCTCTCTTCCTCTGTCTCCCTCTGTCTCAATCTGTCAGTCTGTCTGTCTGTCTGTCTGTCTGTCTGTCTGTCTGTCTGTCTGTCTCTGTCTGTCTGTTTGTCTGTCTGTCTCTCTCCTTCTCTTACAAACACACATACATACACATACACACACAAACACACACACACACACA